AACTACATATATATATATATATATATATATATATATATATATATATATATATATATATATATATATATATATATATATATATATATATATATATATATATTTATATATATGTTAAACCTAAAGGAACTTATCACAGCAAAAGATTAAAGATATGTTAAAACCTTGTATACTCTTTCATTTCACTTGACATTCAACTTTTGATATGCGGCAATTTTGGAATTTGGAATCCACACAATTTATAACACTGGTTGGATAAATGCGGTATTATGTAAAGTCTGTAAAGTGATTAAGAGTGATATTATCTTTATGAGGGCAAAGTTATTTGGTTTAGACAGGGAAGACGACCTGTTGACTGTCATAATGATCGCACTATGATTGTAATGTCTACGGATTACCAAGTACTACTCACCAGAGCAAAATACACCATTTCCCGAGTAACCATGGTTACATCTGCACAAAAAACTCCCATTGGTGTTAATACATTGGGAATTATTAGCACAGTTGTCCAGTCCTGGGGAACATTCATCCACATCTATATTGAATAATCATACGAAGAAAAAAAGATAAATAAACATTTGTTTCATACCTTTTCGAAAGTTAATTTGTTTCACTCACTGTGGTAGTAATTACGTGTATTATTGCCAATTATTCTCTGTGGTAGTATAATTACATATATCATTTCGAATGGCTAACTCTTCAAGTGGCAACAAGCCACGCGACACCCAACTTTATTATTTTGCTCTGTTCAAATGCAGACATATATTACAAAAGTCAAAAATGAAGTGAAAATTGGGAGTGCCATAGTTTAATGCGAGTGGTTAAAGTTAATTTGTGAGCTTAAGCAAGCGACGTTTTACTCAACACGGACGTAAAAATCTTTTATGTTTTGTGTTGAAGATTACCACAAACTGATACAAACTCAGATTTTAATAACGTCTGTGTTGACAAAAACGTCGCTTGCCTACGCTCGGAAATATTACTGCAATTTTACCGGTTGGATAGCATTCGACTCCTGCGTCCTCAGAATGCGCGCAATTATAAACTCCCCATCCCTTGTTAGAACAATTGGCTAAATTTTGTTCATGTCCAGTACAAGAAACATCATCCAACCATATCTGGCCAGTTCCATCGGGAACATTGCTACCTTGAAGAGCTCTAACAGCTGATATAAATCCCAGTTGACGACATACAACCGTAGCATCATTTATATCCCAACCACCATCACATACTGTTCCCCATCTTCCATTGTAGAATACTTCCACTCGACCTGCACCATTGGAACTTGATGGTCCTTGTAACCTGACAGATACACCTGTAAAAATTGTACCATTCAAATTAAAGGGCAGAACAACTGAAAAGTGAAAGAATAAAATAACTAATATAATGGACCTATATACCCCCAACAGAGCTGGCACAATGCATGGCTGCAGTTGGGTACCAAATTAGTTGTGCCAGGGTAACTGTTGTTATCCTGGAAAATTTCCTGAAAAAGAGAAAATGATACATTGCTCCTGCAGGTTCCGGGCGTGAGCCCGGGGCGAGTGTACTAAAATTCCGCCCGGCTATTTACATCCGGGGCGAACGAAAACATTTGCGAAGTCTCATGTTCATCTATGACCGCGGGCCTGGGTCACCAACGAAATTTCGGTGGGTGGTCATCCTCACTGATCTCAAAACATGGCGGACTATCATGAATAGCGGACAATGATTAGTCAAATTCAAAGTTTGCATTATAACGACTGCATGACGACAGCGACTGAATAGCAAACATTTCTTGATTTGATGATTGACGAATGATGATTTCTTGCAAATACATTTCATTTTTGCAAAATTTTGTGACTTTCAAAAGCTTTTTAATAAGAAAATAAACACGAAAGAAATACTAAAAGAATGGAGTAAAGGCGCCCACGTTAACGAAGGTAGGTTTGGTTGAACTATTAATTAATGTATTGTTCGCTTATAACAGCTTTGAAGTTGATCGTTGTGTATATTTTAAATTAAAAAGACTTTTCTTTATTGATTAACCTAAAGTTTTTGATTATGTGCATCATCAAATCACACTTATTAATTTCCATGTAATAAATTTACATACAATACGGTCCACAGGTCCAAGACACATGTAAAGGTCCTATTACCTATCCCACAATTAAAAGATCTTGCGTTTTTTACAACCTTCGGAACGCTTGACACCACATTCACAAGGCAGTTTTTAGTATGGTTTACGGATGTGTAGACGTTTTCTGCCGTGTTATATCCAGAATGAGTTTCTGTGCTGCGTCGTAAGGAAGTAAAAATGTCAATTGGAATCAAAATATCAATTGATTGTACAGTGCAAACTTTTTATTCGTATTTCGTCGGATCAGATCAAGCCGGCATGGCATGACTGCATGCTTGCTCTTGGATTGGTTCCGAATCGGATTAAAATTCTTCGGACGCGGAACTGACTGAATTGGGATTTTAATTATCAATCAATCTTCGGATTGTCATTGCTGTTTTTGAATAGCTGGAAAGCTAGTGTCATACCTTACTATGTGACTACCCACCCTCCAGCTATTCAAAAACAGCAATGACACTTGAGAGAAGCTCAGATTGAACTTCCACTCATTGAGTGTGAGTATGAGTGGGCTTTTAGAATACGGGCGTTAGTATTGTATATCACGAACAGACTCCGCTAGAACGTTATTATTTTTTTAGTAAAAAGAAAGCATAACGTGTACCTGTCAGTTTAGTGTGGAAAGGAATATCTCCATACACATGGCTCAAAACGCTCAGCGCCAACATTGAATAAATCAACATCATTTCTAAATTAATAATATAACATTTTAGCAATTTTTCTCTGTCTTTTGACTTCTTGAGTGGAACTTAAGCTGGTTTTCCACCGGGCGGAATTTGCGCGCGGAACATAATATTTCTTTGTCTTCTCTAATTTATTTAGTTCCACTCGAAAAAAATCACAAGACAAAGAAAAATTGCGCTCCGTCCGCAAAATTCTACCTAGTGGACAAAGCAAAATTCCGCTCCGCGCGCAAATTTTCACCTAGAACAAAACTGACTAATTATCATTTCTATAGCGCAAAATTACATGTGGATATGATCAAATACGCTTGATATCAAGAATTATGCTTACCTAATTACATACTTAGCCCAGAAAATTTTATTTTTATAACAATTGTGATATTTACTGTCTCAATTCTCCAAATCAATCTTTTCAACTTTCCCTGTGGGGAACAACAGTACTGGGAGATAACCCAAGGCTTACGGCAGAGCGTTGACTTAGTCTTTTTACATTAGTCCGCATAGTGAGAATCGAATTCACGCGGTCTCAGAGGCAGCTAACAGGCGCTTGCTCGGACGACTACGCCACCGAAGTTGACAAATAAGAAATGTATACTTCAGTATATTTCAAATAGTCACGCACTCGCGATTATTAGCCATTCGGAAATTGATGAGTGGACTGGGGACGAATACTAAAAAGTGCTCATGTTAACAGATGGGGAATTTGTCGACGCTGACCAAAAATAGCGGCTCATTTCTTCTCGAGTTGTCATTTTCTCATCGAAGAGCAAAAATATAGACTTTCGGAGAATACTTTAGCTGTTTACTAGCAAATACGTTTGTGACACAGCTACGTTGATAATCTTACTGAGAAAGGCAAACGGTTTCTGAAAAGCTAAAGTACGTCGATATAGGCTTTGGAATGGACTATATTTTCACCGGGGAAACATGAACTAAGTGGATAATTAATTACATCAACACTAAATTTTTCTCGTGCCTGCAGAGGTAGTTGGATTAAAACAGATGTCAAGAAGTAAGTGAAAATGTAAATTTTGTGAATTATACTTTCATTATAATGTCATCAGAAGGGCTGCTAATGTCAAACTACACGTGTCACAGAGCTGTCAGTATGGCATATTTCAATGTTTATGTTGAAATGACCCATCTTCTTTGAGGTATAGCTTAAAAATTAGGGTATGCTCATCACTAATTGAAACTAACTTTAAATCAAAGTTTTATCTATAGTCTTTTTATTAGAATTAAAATCATTCATGGGAAAAATGTGCCAAAGGGTTGAAACTGCCCTTGTAAATTGTACACTATTTTTTATATGTTTGGGTTAGTATTTTGAAAAGGTGTTCTGGAAGGAAAATATTTCTTGAACAATACTGATTGACCCTTAAATTATAACTAGTGTTATGTAAATCATATACAATTGAAAAAAATCATACACAACATTTTGGATTATATGAGGTCTGGAATGGGGCTTATTTCAACGTTGAATCTGTTTACTTGCAAAAACTTAGAAAGTTGAATAAGTGACAAGAATTTGACTATGCTCATCACCCAAAACCAGATTTTTCTAATTGATTTTTCACCTAGTTATGCCAGTTATGCGACCACGAAAAATGCGCGCGGCACTTTTTTTGGACACTGAAGATGGTAACATTTGATGTTGTCATATATTGCCATCCTCTTATCATAGCATAACTTAACCTATTTTAGTGAGTTTGTTAAAGAGTTCTGCTCACTATATGCCTGCAGTATCTAAGACTTTTCATAGCATTATATGATAAATTTAAGTTCTGTTTTCTTTTATATTTAGGTGTAGTATATCTGTTCACTTGAGTGTTGGTATCAAACTTTGGACAAGTTTCAACTATTATTTCACATTCCTTTATTCAAATATCCAAATAAATGGAATAGGGCATCAAGCTAAAGGACTAGATCCTGTTTTCAAACTTGTTTTTTGTAAAATTATATATAGAAAATAACAACTTATTCCGCGTTGTTCTAACAAAAACCATTGTTTTTTATATGCATGCATATATTTTAATTTTATTCTTTGTTAAAATATGCACTAGGACTACTGAAATCTTTCAGATTAGCTAACAATATCTTGATAACTTACATAGCCAAGTGTTCTATCTATTTTTGTTCAGATTAAACAAATAATGGGTAAAATATTAGATAAGATTTTTTCAAAAAATACGAGCTTGCCTATTTTCAAAGTATAAAAAGCAATAAAAGAAAGCAAAAGTACTTATTTTTAATTTAAAACCTTTGAAATGCATAGCTTAATGTTTTCCACTAAATATTACAAAGTTTTCATTCATTAAAATGTTGTTTTATCAGCTTTAAAACCTGATAAATCCACGAAACACTCCTAATATATGTCGCCATATTGATTTTCTTCGTACATGCTCAAACAAATTGCCCACCTGTTGCTCATATTAGAAAATGAACCAAATCACTAAAAAGACCACCTCAAAATTAGTAAGAATATAAAGTTTGAAGACGTTTACATAAATATCCTTCGAAAAATAAACTTTCGAAAATGGTGATATTTACTCAATCTCGAAACCACAGCCTGCAATCCTCTATGGAGGCTTGCTGAAGCTCTGAGAAACAATAGCGAAAGTCGGTCTCTGATTGGTTGTTTTTCAAGTGCTATTATTATTCAAACTGTGGGTATATCGGTACTGCTTATAGAAGTAAGTTAACACTGCCGTTCGGTCGCGGTTCGTGCATGCGGTTCATCGGTTTGGGGTCGCGGTCCGTGCAATTTGCGGTCGCGGTTCGTGCGGTTTGCTGTCGTGGTTCGTGCTGTTCTTTTATATACCGACCACAGAAAGCCATGGCGTTGTGTTCCAACGTTTCTCGACTACAACGGTATCATACGCTTTCTAATTACAACTGAGATTTATATTTCAATATTGCGATTATATTTGTAAGTCTCTATTATATACCGTTTCATTCATAAGCTTTTTAATGCATGAGCTTATTGACAAATCATGTCAACCATAATATGTCACGTGCAGTGGCTTTAAACCTGATAAAACACTCCTAATTAGTATTCTTTATATAAAGAATACTAATAAGGCAGTATCTATTGTAGTCGTGTCCTCATTAGTATTCTTTACATAAAGAATACTAACAAGGCAGTATATCTATTGAATTTGTAGTCGTGTTTGAAGTAATATATGAACAACGAGAGCGAGTGTTTCACCGGGATATCCAAACACGAGAAAACAATGTATGAAAACAAGAGCGCGAAGCGCGAGTGTTTTCATACATTGTTTTCGAGTGTTTGGATATCCCGGTGAAACACTCGCTCGAGTTGTTTATATGACTTCCCAAATGAATCGAGACGTAACAGAATGTTTTCGTTTGCTGATTTGAATAGAATTCTTAACCAAACATAACGTAATTAGGAATTCTATTCAAGTAATTTTGCATGCGTAATTAAGATATTTGATGAAAACACTAGTGACTTTCATCAAGTTTCACCGGGTTATCTAAATGGCATCTTGTGATCAAATAGGTGATCATCATTGGCTGAATTGCTCATGAATTATTAATGAATTTGAGAAGTACTGTTTATAATAAACGAGCAGGTCGTGTTTTATTAGGTCTAAAGCCACTCGCGCTGCGCGCTCGTGTCTTTAAACCTAATAAAACACTCCTGCTCGTTTATTAAACAGTACGTAAAACATGCCG